TGGTGGCTTCAGCCAGGAGCCCCGTCCTTTCCAGCCCCTGGGAGATGGAGGGGGGGAGTCCTGTGGCTTTCGCCAGTTCTGAGGGTCAGCAGGACAGCTAAATCAGCTCTGGAGTCTGACACTCAGAACTTCCTGAGTGTGGCCTAGGGCACCAGGCTGTGGAGGAGCACAGGCTTTGGGAGCTCCCTGTCATCAACGACCCTCCTGCCCCCCTTCCTCGTCCGAGGTGAGAGGGACGAAAGAAAGAATTCTCAGGGCAGAAAGTGTTCAGTTCACCGAATGCCACCACGAGCTGCTGGAGCTGTGGGGACTCATCGTGACCTGTCACCCGGGGCTGTGGAAGCATCCTTCACTGAAACCCAAGTCGGTAACTAGAAATGGGGCTTCCAAACCCCAAAAATGAGGAGCTGATCAGAAAAACAACCACGAGGAATCGGTCACGGGCATTTAGCCACCAACGCACAGGGACGTGGTGGGACGAAGAGGATCCTGAGAAACCCTGGGAGCAGCAAAGCCAGGGCCTGTCTCCCACCCGGGCCTCAGCCCTGCTGACCAGCAGTGACCAGCGCTGCAGGGTATCTGACCTCAGTGGACATCCAGCCGCGCTAAGCTCATTGTGCCTGGCCATTCCGGAGCCTTTTCCTTCCTTCCTCAGGGAGTGGGGATGTTTTGGTCTAGGGAGGGGAGAGGTACTGTTTCCAGTTGAAGGAAGTGCAGTTATTACTAAAATCCCTGATGCTGAGTTTCCCCAGACAGTAGCTGTGAGAGGGAAGCATTCATTTTGTGTTAGACAGAAACTGGCTGGCACAGCAACATTCAGAGAGTTGTACCACACAGAGCCAGGGGAGGGGTCCTCTCGGGCCCCCACTTCCTCATCTAGACAGATGCGACTGGAGTCTGTGCCACAGCCCCACCCCTCTCCATTTCCTGAAGGATCTCCTGTCTCGGGCTCCGAAGCCCGTTCCCAGAGTCTGTGAAATGTAGCTGAACTCTAGCAATTTGAAGACAAGAACAGAGATTTAGGGAAAGAGGAGTTTAGATAAGACTCAGCATCTAAATAAAAAGGCACGCAGGCAGCACTCCAGCCTGGGGTGAGGGACTAGGTGGGAAAACGGTTCCTCTGTGAGGCCCAGGCCTCGAAGTCACACCCTTCGCTTCCCCGAGGGCCTCAATATTCAGGACGCTGAACCACAGCCCAAGTTAAAGTTCAAGCCCCTTAGGAAGAGGAGGGAGATGCCTGTGGGGACATTCGTCCTGTCCCAGGAGCAATGGGCAGGATGTGGTCAGTGCAGACCAGGCTGTGAGAACCCACAGTCAGATGGGCAAAAAGCAAAACGTGTAACTTAAAAACCGGCTCTGACAGAAAGGAGACAGGAAAGGACACCCGAGCGCAACACTGTTCATGCAAATTTAAAACAGCCGCACAGATCACGCTGCCCCTTCTAAGGAGAGACACCCGGCCTGGCACCGGGGTGAACAGTGGGGTCCCTGGGAGGGGGGCCTGACTGCCACTGAAGTCAGAGAGAAAAGGAAGTGGGCAGAAAGGGGTGGGGGGGCACCTGGAGCAGAGTGTTTTAATTCACCCCAAACAAGCAGCTGGGACTCCAGCGATTGCTGTGACCCCGTGACTGCCTGTCTGCACCCTGCAAAGTGAGCTGCCCCCCGTCCCACGAACAGGGCAAACTGCTTTTATGTTTTACATTTTGAACACTCTGGAGAGAAGGCTCCTCGAGCGATTGAAAGTGGTCATCTTATGTTTGGATGCTGTGGAGAAAACCTGACCGACTTCTGAGATGAAAACGGACCGCGAGGGGGAGAGGAAACAGTGGCGTTCCTGCCATGCCCTAGACTCTCCAGCAGGGAGGCTTCTGCCGACAAGCTCTGAGGGCCCTGAGGTCAGCTCCACGGGATGGGCTCTGAGGGCCGGTGGGGGGAGGGGGGGCAGCTCCACGGGCATTTGGGCTGATGTCCAGGCAGATCTGCACCCGGGGCAAATGGGAAAAGCTCAGCAGGAAGATTTGCTGAGTTCATTCTGAAGCTCCCACTGAGAACAGATGTCCCATCTGTGCAGCACTCAGAATCCTGGCCAGGTGACGGCGTTCCTGAATCCACACAGACCCACGACTTCAGACATGTCAAGGGCACTTAAAAGTCTAGTCGCCAAGATTTGGGGAGAGGAGAAAGCGTGTCTGTGTCTGTTTTCCGGGAGTTTCTTCAGGGAAACTGGGCATTTAGCTGGAGTAACAGGCAGGCCCTTGACCGTTGATAAGGGCTGTGCTTACAGTGGCTTCTGAAAAATGTGAGGACTCAGGTGGCTCTATGCTGAGTGTTCCCAGCTTCCTCGGCCAGAAGTGAGGTCTCCTTTTATGCTTCAACCCTCTCAAGGCCAAGAACAGATACTCAGACAGGCACCTGCCCGTTTGTGGAATGTTCTCCAACCCACAGGGTGGTGACCCTGTGGCAGGACCACCTGGGACGGTCAGGACAGCCGCTCGCTGTCCCTGGGAGCCTCTTCCTGGCACCACTGACCACGCGGGTCCCCTGCCTGCAGCGGGTGCCCAGCAGCTCTGGGCTGCCCAGACATGAGGGGCGTCTATCAGAGTGGAAGGCAGACGCTGGAGGCGTGCGTGGTGACAAGGGCAGCCGTCCACATGCTGAGCCTCATCCATGTCTAACTCTCCAACTCCCCACAAAGCAGGTGATAGTTTCCCTGCAAGAGACAGAAGGCAGAGGGTCAGTCATTTGACCCAGATCAAGGTCAGGAAGTAGCTGACGGCGCCCAGGTCCAATCTGAGAGGGTGGTGCCCATGGGTACACAGAGCAGCCTCTCAGGATTTCACACACAAAGTCCCCAAAAGCTGCTTAATCAAATGAGTAATCTGCTCTTAGTCCTGTGAAGACAAAGCAGCGTTTACAACAGACAAAAGATAAGCAGTTAGATGACCTGTCATGTTGTCTCCGAGAACACATTGAACAGTCAACTCCTCAATTCCTGAGCCAAGTGGAGCGACTCTGAGTGACCGAGCTGGACTGTGACCCTCTCCTCGAGGACTGTCCTCATTGGCTGATCACATTGGACACGCAGCGCTGGCTCCAGGAGGCATCTCCTGGTCATTCCGCTGCTTGTTAGAAGTTTACATGGTGCTGTGTGCTGAGTGGTGACCATGTCCACACACAAACCCACCTGGTGACCCCTGGCCACCCGGGGAGCTGTCGAGTGGCCGGGGGAAGGTGAACCCGTAAGGCCACTCACAACAGAGGGACATGTCCTCACCGACCACATGGACGGCTCCTCGAGAGGCGAGCAAGGGGCAGCGGGAGGTTGAGGAAAGGGAGAGAGTTTCCAGAAGGTCTGGGCTGAGGGCCAAACACCCGGAGGTGGGTCCCTTAGAGGCGTGGCCACCCGCCCACCCTGTGGGAAGGCTCCAGTAATTCAAGGACAGCACCAACTGGGTGTCATGGGATGGGGATCACAGAGCTGAGGTGACAAGGACAGAAGACCCAGTGCCACCCACACAGTAACCTGTTGCCACTGCCCTCAGGTTTGCAAGGAGAGTGGCTCAAGCTCAGCTTGTGGTAAACAAGGAATCAAACGGGGTCCCTTCCATGTGTGATCCTCATACGAACCCCCTCCTCCCAGCGTTTGCTGTGAACATGGCGGGCCTACAGAGACCTTGCAGTGACAGCACAGCCTTTCACCCTTGGCTCGCTTCCCGTTTCATCTCCCCATGTGTCCAGACGCCTCGTTTCTCCCCCTCCTTCGTGAGGCCTTCCAAGTGCGTTCCCCGAGCAGGACCCCACACTCGGGACCTGCCTCCCACTCAACTCTGGGAAACACCTTTGTGGTACTGGTTTGGCTCTTACTTCCTGGATCTGACACCAGAAGCCCAGGAAACAGGGAAAAACAGATAAATTACAAACATCTGTGTGTCAAAGTACAGCACCAAGGGAATGAAAAAGCCAAGCCACAGATGGGAGAAAATGTTTCCAAATCACACATCTGACAAGGGATCAATATCCAAAATGTATAAAACTCTCATAATTCACCAGCAAAAAACAAATCGCCCAGATCAGAGGGCGGTGAGGTCACAAGCATTTCTGCAAGAGGTGGCGGCCCAGCAGCAGAGAGGGTGTCCATTTCTCCCATTGGGACAGGAACCAGGCTAGCATGAGAACCACTCCCACTCCCCAGAGGACAGAAGCAGTGTCGAGAGGAGGCAGGGAATTCAACGCGCACGGGGCTGGTGGACTGTACACGGTGCCGCCGCGGTGGACATCTGGCTGCTCCTCAGAAAGTTAACAAGAGTCACCAGGTGACCCCGCAGTTTTCCCAGATAAATGAGAACAAACGACCACACAGGATTCCCCGCGTGATGTTCATGGCGGCACCGCTCACAACAGGGAAACGGGAAACCAGTGTCCACCGACCAACAGCAATGGGAAACAAGGGGCCTCTCACATATCGCAGCTAGTCAGCCGTAAAGAGAGACGTTATGCCTGGCCAGTGTGGCTCAGCGGTTGAGCATCGACCTAGGATCCAGGAGATCGTGGTTCGGTTCCCGGTCAGGGCACATGCCCGGGTTGCAGAATCGATCCCTAGTTGGAGGCGTGCAGGAGGCAGCCGATCAATGACTCTCTCATCATTGATGTTTCAACTCGCTTTCCCCCTCTCCCCTCCTCTCTCTGAAATCAATAAAGACATTTAAAAAAAAAAAGAGAGGGCGACAGAGACGTTGGCACACAGTGCGAACATGCTTAATGCCCTAGATCGTAAATGGTTAGGGTGGTAAATTTCATGTGTGTGCCCTTTACCACAATAGAAAACACCTTCCCAGGTGAGCCAACGCCCTCCAAAGTGTTGAACGAATCTCGAGACATTGCTGCCTGGTGGCCACTCCCTGACGAGGGCCGAGGGCTGGGCCCTTGGAAACATAAATGAGAATCAAACCACTTAAACCACAGCATTTTCACACCCGCAAGGCATTCTCAAAACAGAGATGTTCAGATACAGGGCGGTTTAAAACTTTATAAAAATACACAACGTCTTCAAACTATACAGTTCACTCAACAGAGTGAGTGCTTTTAAATTTTTACAGGAATTAAAAAACAGAACCACTGGGCAGTAAATTCAAGACACATGCAATTTTTAAATGGAGACTTGCAGTCTTATCCCCATTTCTCACGCGGAGCCTCAGCCGACATCTTCCTGACACGTGGATACAGAGAAGGTGACACAGCAGGACTGTCCGCAGGGGTCCAGGGGGGTCACTGAGAAAACCGAGGGAACGTCACTGTCTTTGTGAAGAGGGGTAACTCGGCCCCCTTCCTCTCTGTCGCTTATGTTTTCCAGTCGCGTCAGCTCTTANGAGGGGTAACTCGGCCCCCTTCCTCTCTGTCGCTTATGTTTTCCAGTCGCTCTTCTCAGGTACATGTTCTCACTTTACTGACTGTTTTTCTCAGGGAGGACGTGGGTGATCCAGTAATTAAAGAAAGCAGAGACCACTCTGGCATGGTCTGCAAGGCAGGAACAAAACCAGAACAAACAAAACAAACAGAAACATTATACATTAGTATCTGTGTATATGAGGCTTTGGGCCCAAAGGGATCACTGAAATAACGGAACGAAACGCAGCTTTGGTACAAAGACGGCACCAACAGTGACATCCACACTGCAGATCACAGGGCGTCACAAATACAGCAAAAGGGTGGACAGACTCTATATTTGTATTTTACTTGGGCACAAGCTCCTCAGGCTCGTGAGTCCTGGGACCAGCTGCAGAAGGTCACGACACGACACGACACACTCAATGTCTGAGCCAAAGAGAGCCACATACAAACTGAAATGCGATGTCAGCGATGAACAAACTGGCCAGAAGCCAAGTAGAAGTCTAACTCCAGGTTTGGTGCTGGGACAGCACAGCATTCAGATTTCACAGGAAGGTCCTGTGATGTCACCTGTCCCCTCACTGTCCTGGGGAGGCTCACAGCCCCAGGGAAGACTTGTCACATCCTGCAGACAGTCAGCCCAGCTGGTAAGAGGAATGGGGGTTCCTGGGAGGCTCTGTCACAGGGCCCGACTGAATCTGGCAAGACCGGACCCCAGAGGGCACTCTTGGCTCCCTGCATCTGGCTCAGACCCTGGGCTGCCCGAAGAGCTGCTCATCAGAGGCAGGGACCCGGGCCTCCGCCAACCCCAAACGACGCGCACAGTAAGAGGCAGACTCTTGCCTCCCTCTGCGCCCTGCAGCCACACTGCTGTGATCTCTCCTGTTTAAGATACGGCCTCGGGGCCACTCCCCTCCTGTCCCCTCCTTGTCATCCCTCCCCACTGCCCCTTCTCCCCTCTCTGGACCACCCTGATCAACCTGGTGATCTTTCCAATTCAAGCGCTGCCCTCTGACACCTGCTCAGCTGGCAAACCTGCAGATCCTATTGGGAACCTTCCCAGGTCTGACCGCCCTGCGACAGTGACCACACTGGGACAACAGCCCTCCCTCAGTCTCAGCACGATGGGAAATCTTGCCAAGTGCAGTCAGACCCTGTGCCAGAGCCTCCCCAGAACCCCCCTTCCTCTCAGAATAAGAAACTCACGCGACCTTGGGGCCCACGTGACAGTCCCTGTCACTGTCTGACAGCCTCTGCACTGGCTGCAGGACACCACCGCCTGCCTTCTCCTCTCCAAGGCCACATCTCTCTGGGACGTGTGACAGGTTCTGTATTTTCTGTCCCTGCGCCAGATGTAAGCACCAAAGGCCAGGGTTCCTTGCTAATCCCGGAGGAGAATGTGCCGGCCTGGGGCCACTGCCTGGTCACTGAGTCACCCGTCCACCCTGCCATCCACTTGCCAGTCACCAGGGCCCAGAGGACTGCTTTCCTGACTCAGCTGATTTGCTGTCAGCGAACCTCAGTCCTGACTTCAGCTGTACTGAGGTTTCTGAGGAACGAGACCCTGCGTTAACGGAAAGTGGGCCACGTGTCTGCTCGGGGTCAGGCACAGCCCTGTGTGGCTGCCGTGGCTACACAAGCCCTGGTTTCTGATGTGCAGTGTCTGCGGATTTCTGTGGCCTAAATATTCCCACCGTGGCCCACTGCAAGTACCAGTGTGAGTCACCACCTCGGTGTTGGGAAGACATACCCGGTCGACTCTGGCACACTGGGTTTGCACAGAATGGTACTTGATAAAGGTCAGGTAACTGCACAGAAAAACCTTCTCCTCCACTCTGCTTCCAACTGTCGGGCTCAGCCAGGCATCCTGGCACACCAGGGGACAGAATGCTGACCCACTCCCCATCCAGCAGGGGGGAAGGAAAAGGGAAGCAGAAATGAATTCTTTCACCTCTATAAACTATTGAAAACTTGGCCCTAAGTGCTGGTAGCTCCCAGCACTGGAAATTGGACACACAAGTGTTTCTGCACATCTCACGTAAACTGTTTTTAGAGCAGAATGCTCCTCCATGGACCCCTTCTCCAGGCCACACATGTCCCCTTGTGCTCTGACTTGTGACCCCCGTGCTGGAGCAACCCCTGGGCAGTGTCCTGGTGACAAGTACCTGGCGGCACGTACCTGGCGGCATGGTGCAGTGCTCTGTGAACACCTGCAGGGCACGCTGCAGTTTGCCAGGATCCTGTAGGAGCAGCAGTGTCTTCAGGTGGTGCAGGGCCAGCAGGTCTGAGGGGGGCAGGCTGCATGCTGCCAGGCTCTTTAGCAGCTCCTCAGTGGCTTCTAGGAAGGCTGGGTCCGAATCCTTGGAGACACCTAGACAAAGGCAGGGCCGCACAGAGATGTACTTTATTTTTCTTGTAAACTGAAGACCAGCTTTCATTCCTTAAGGAGAGAACAGTTTCTACTTGAAGGAAACATTGGGACATAAAAGCCTCTACGAGAGGTGATCAGAGTAGAGCTCTGAGCAGTAAACAAATGAACACGCTGCTCAGGGCACTGAAGCCTGGTGTCTGCCCCCAGATCCAATCAGGAAAACAGCCTCCATGCATCACATGACCAGGTGTCACGGGCAGGTACACAAGGCAAGGACACCGAGCTCTGAGATGGGCCAGGTCTCTAAGCAGCAAGGAGAGCAGGGACACGCAGCCTGGCCGCTGTTGCTGTGAGGACAGCGGGTCCTCTCCTGTGTCACCATCCCCACCACTGACACAGGTGTGGTTCTGCATCATCCTGCCTGCAGTTCACAGAGCTCTTTGAATCTCTGGCTTTATGGCCTTTATCGACTTTGAAAAACTCCCAAGTCTCATCTCCTTAAACATCCTTGCCTCGGGGCCCCAGGCACACGTGCGAGCCTTCGTGTCACCCACCCGTCTGCACTCCCACCCTTTCTCTCCTCCTGTGTTTCCCACCCTGTCCTTCTCCCTCCTTTATTCTGGCTCTGCCTGTGGCCAGTCTTCCCAGTTACTAATTCTCTTTTGTGCTGGATCCAATCTGCTATTTAAACTCAATCTTGAGTCTTTATTTGTTGTTTTTTTTTTTCAGATCTAGGGTTTCCATTCTGTTACCTTAATAGGTTCAAGTTAACTGGTGAAATTCTCCAATTTCTCCCTCTCTTCCCCCCTATGTTTCTGAACATCTTGCTCACAGCTACTTTAATTAAAATTCCTTATCTGATAACACCCGGCACTAGTCTTTTCTTTAGAAACATAGCTGATTCCAACATATTCCAAAATCAACGTCAGGGTAATGGGGACAAGGTCACATGAGCAGCCAGGACACTGTGGCCTTCACGTGGGTCTCCTGCTCTGTCCTGAGCTCACTGCTGGTCAGGTCATGGTGAGAACATCAATATTCTTATTTTTGCCTCAAAAGTAATGGTTATTTTGAATACGGAGTACCTTAAACATTTAATATTATACCTCTATTGGCTTATTTTCCCAAATCAGCAGAAGCTATTATTCAAAAGAAAAACAGGAAAGAACATACCGTCATAGAAATACATCTCCTGGGTTGACTTCAGAAAATCGAGGATGCCCTCTGCCTTCCCCTCGGAGCCTTCCTCACCGTGCCCCTCGGCCCCGGAGCTGCCCCCGCCGGCCCCCTCGCAGCTGGCCCCCGGCTCGAGGCTGCCCTCCCCGGGCTCGTACAGGAAGCTGACACCGGAGGCTCTCTGCAGTGAGCCAGCTGCTCGTTTCCGTTCCACTTGCTGTTTCTTTCTCAGTTTCCTTCTCTTACTTTTGCTAATTGTGGGGCCATCTCTGTGCCGTGGCTGCAGTTCTTGCGAGAGACTCTGCTGTTGCTCTAATTCTGCATGTTCTACGTGGACACTGTTGGGATGCTGATGTTTCTTCTTCGATTTATGCTTTCTGATTCTTCTTCTCTTTCGCTGAGCAGGAGGATCCTGATCTATGAAAACAAAAATTCAAATACAACAATTTTCTTTATAATGGAACCACAACAAACACATTAGCGCAAATACGTTTCCCATTAGGATCTTGTCATTTTATTACAAAATGAACTAAAAATATTTACTTAGGTGGTTCAAAACTGAATCTCAACTAATTACACTGCCAAGGATTCTGAGACTTACAATAAAATTTTCTTAGAAAAGCCTTGTCAGAGTGTGAACCTGAGGAAAAAGGACACCTACTAAGAGGGCTGGTGGCTCACCAGGCTCAAATTTATAAAGCAGAGCCCAGCCCTGGCTGGTGTGGCTCGGTCGGCTGAGCTCCAGCCTGTGCACCAAAGGTCGCGGTTGGGTTCCCGGTCAGGGCCCCTTCCCCGGGCTGCGGGCGCCACCCCTCGCCGGGCGTGCAGGGGGGCAGCCCATCCATGTTCCTCTCGCACATGGATGTTTCTCTCTCTCCCTCCCTCCCTCTAAAAATCAATACAATTATCTCTTAACACCCTCCACCCCCGAAAAAAACAAAACAGCAGGCCCAGCAGCCGCGCTGCACAGGGGCCCCTGCGCCCGCCCGGGAGCCCGCACGCGCCCGTTTCAACCCACAGGACCCAGCTTTCCCCGCAGGGGCTGTGCGGCCCTAGCCAGCCAGTGGCCCATTCTGACCAATCAGAGGCCTCACTTGCACGAGGACCAATCAGGGAGCAGGGGCGGGGCTCCGCCTGCGTGAGCACGGCCGCAGGTCCGGAAGCGCGTCCCGCGCAGGAGGCTGTTCCCGGCTGAGCTGAGACGGCGCGTGTCTGGCGGGAGCGGAGC